CTGCAAACTCCAGAATGGCCTTGTAGCAGAAATAGTACCGCTCGGGGGTCTGGATGCAGAAGGCCCTCTGGGTCCACACGGGTGACACTGTCTGGAACACATTGAGGGTGCCAAGCTCCTCCAGCTGTGCCAGGCAGATGGCCAGCGAGCAGAAGGTACCTGTCCGGCCAATGCCTGTGCTGGAGAGAACTACATTGGGCGGCTGCTCAGGGCATTGCACCTTGGAGCGGACGCCCACGCTGCTGACGGCCAGGCTCTGCTGGTTCCTGACAGCCCTCAGGAAGTCAATGAGTGACGCCTCCGAGGAAGGGACACCATAGTTCGTCCAGCTCAGGAATTGGAAGTGGGTCACCTGGCGTTTCTCCCACTCCTCAGTGTTGTGAATTTCAAATGTTGTTTTCTTATAATGGTTCATGTTCTCCACACCCAGGGTGGTCATTGTGAGGAAGCCAAATCTGATCCGATTGTCCTTTTCCAAAGGCCAGTATTGGCCACACTTCCTCCTGCCACCTTCCTCAAGGCGGGTGGTCATGACAATCACCAAGACCTTCTGCTCCCACACCATGGGCCAGAAGTCGCGATAGGTGTTTTCCAAAGGGTCCTGGGTGCCGATATAAGCATTCTTCTGCTTGTAGCCATTCACGAAGCTGGCACTGATGTAATGTGTCTGAGTGTGGCCACTTCGTTTTGTCAGCTTCACTCGAGTTTGGTCCAGGCAGGGGACATCCCCATAGCGGTTCTTCTCCAGGTTTCCTGGAGACATGGAACAGTGGAATGTGACAACGGGGTTCTCCCGACAAATGTCTTCGTACTCCTCACAGATCCCCCGCTTCTGCCTGGCGTTAACATAGTCCACTAGCTCGTGGATGGTCATGGCGTGGGGACCTGGAACATGTACCAGGTCCCAGTCTAAGGCAGGAGGGGGAGGAGGACAGGACGATCTCATCGAAGGGATCTGGGTGGCCATTCACCTGGGGCAGGAATTGGAAGTCCCATGTGTCGAGGTCGATTCTGACGTACCCACCCAGATTTTCTGGAAGGTACTGCCTGGGCAAGTGCTGAGTAACCTCAGATATCTTTAATATCTGAATCCTCTCCAGAACCTTGTCCTTCAGGAGGAGGCTGATGATGGAGTAGGGCACTTGGAAACAGATGGGCACACCCACAATCAGCACCTTTTTCAAGTGGGCCGGAAACGCTCTCTTTAGCAGGTTGAAGACTTTCTTGCCGAGATCCAGCTCAAAGTTGGCATAATTAGAACCACACATGTCGTAGGTAAACACCAGGCCATTCCTCTGAGTCTCAAAGCTATCAACAGCCCTGACCAGCAAGTAAAACAGCTCCTGGAGGACACGTGTTGGGTTGACTTGTGGGGATGGTGCAGCCTGGTAGTGAAGAGGGCGATGGAGGCTCCTGTGGGATCCCGCACATTCAGGACGGTGAACTTCCCGCTAAGGATCTCGGAGCGGAGAGGTTCCTCATGAGGTTTCAGCTTCACGATGCCTTCCTTCCATCGTGTCTCCCTGTACGAGTGGAACAGCTCGATGGCTCGGAGCATTTCAAACTTCCTGGCCATGAGGAACATGACGGCCACGTTCCAAGAGAGTGGGGAAACTTTGTATTGAACGGTCCACTTGTTAATCTCTTCAAGAAACTGCTTGGTGGCCGCCTCCGCCGCCGCCGCCGCCGCCTTCTCCTCCTCCTCCGCCTTCTCCTCCTCCTCCCCCTCCCCCTCCCCCTCCCCCTCCTGGCTCAGCTCGGGCGCCAAGATGGGCCAGGGCGCGGCCGCGGTCTCCATCCCGCCACCGGCACAGCACCCGAGGGCGACAGCCCGCCCCTCAGCGTCCCGCAGCGCATGCGTGCATGGCCACCCTTCCCACCCGGTGCTTAAAAATGTTAACGGATGCCAGTTCCTCCTAGATTAACATGCAAGTGCAATTGCAATCAGAATAATGTGACTTTAAAAAAACTGGGCAGTGGGCCAGGGATTTAGCTCAGCGGTTTTGCCGCCCGCTGCACAAGCGCAAGGTCCTGAGTTTGATCCCCTGTACGAAAAAAACCCCAAAACCAACACAAAAAAACTGGGGAGCAGTGGGATATGATAATATACCTCTATAATCTCAGCTACCCTCAGACGGCTGAGGCAGGAGGATCACAAGCTCAAGGCCAGCCTGGGCAACATATCAAGATTCTGTCTCAAAACAACAAAAAAAACCTAAACAGTAATTTTAACATTTACATGAAGAGTACAAATAATCAATGTTTGGAAAAGCTGGGCATGGTAATACACACCTCGGGAGGCTGAGGCAGGAGGATTGCCCTGGGTTCAAGGCCAGCCTGGGCTATATAGTCAGTTCAAGGCTAGCCTGAACTGTACAGTGAGACCCTGTCTTAAAAACAAAAAAAATTTTTTTTTAATTTTTAAAAAAAATATTTAATATTTTTCTAAACCAGGGAAACAAACAACAGCCAAAACCCAGTGTACAGCTTCATTAAGGGGTACAAAAATAAAATCCTTCTCAAAAATATCTACATGCCGGGTCCACGTTTTTACTCTCCCATGTTGTTTTTGCTGTATTGACAGATTAGTTGTTTCATGATTTCTCCTCTCTCTCTGATTAAGGCGTTTGTAGAAAAAAGAACTAAATATATGAATTCAGTCAGCTTCTTTCTTCAGTTTTTCAAGCACCAAATATTTCAAGTAAAAGTCTATAATAACATCGTTTAAAAATTCCCCTTCACTTAGACCGTGTAGGTCTTCATTAGTAACAGAGATGGCCCCCTTAGAAGGAGGTGGTGGATACACTACCAATTTTTCCACAGGCCCAATGAAGATGGTATGACTTTCTTCAGATTCTTCCTCATCATCAAAAAACTGGAATTCCCGTTTGTTTCTAAGTTGTATTTTAGATTCAAAGGACATAGTTTTAACGTTTTCTTTTTACATACAACTTCCTTTGATGCTCTCTTCATAGCTTCTTGTACATGCAACAAGTCTGCTATTGGCTTCTTCAAAAAGAATTTTTGCAAAAAAATTGAGAACATTATTCTTTATACCAATGTTATTAATGATGTTCTCAAATATCACATTTGTCTGAGGGTCAAGGCTATTTTGGAAAATTAAAATGATGTACTGTTCTTCCAAATTTGTTAACTTATTTATTCCTTTACAAAAAAAAATTTTTTAAAAACGAAAAAATAAAAAAGAATACTTGGAGAAGGTAGGCCAACAAAAGAGGACTTGTCTTACTATGTATTAAAATGAGGCTGTAGGAAACACAGCAGTATAATATTAGTGCAGGAATGGACACAGGTCATAAAGATCAGGAGAAAGAAGAGAATCCAGAAATTTATTAAACTGCACGTGAATCTAATAAAGGACTCAGATGGTTTTATTTGTTATATGGTCTGGCATAATCGAATATACATCTAGAAGGAAATAAAGCTAGTTCCTATGGCAGACACTACTGATTGCCTACTCAATTTCCATTCACAACCTGATTTTATTTAGGCCTGCAATGTGCCTCACCAAAACTGTCCACCTCCCTCAACTCCTTTGAGAATACCAGTTGCTAGCTCTTGCTCAAGGAGCCGTAATCAGAGGCCTAATGGGTAGAGCTACCAGGAAAACTTACTGTTTTCTTGATAAAAAGGGACCTAGCTCTTGTCCTTTACTCTGATTTTTCCTGCCTGCAACTTGTAAAGAAAACTGTCTTGCATGAAATAGAAAATTGTAATCTAAGAATTGTAGAGCAAAAAGAGAGAAGTCGTCCAGGTTTTGATGGCATGGTGGAGCATTATCCCAGACTTGATTTTTTACTTCTATTCTTCATGTCACCTGAAAAAATAAACAAGGCCTATTTGGAGCCAGGCACGGTGGTGCATACCTACAACCCTAGCACTCTGAAAGACTGAAGGAGGAAGATCACAAGTTTGAGATCAGCCTGGGAAATTTAGTGACTTAGCAAGACCCTGCCTCAAAATAAAAATTTAAAAAAAATTTTAAGGAATGTAGCTCAGTGTGAAGGCTCTGGGTTCAATCCCCAGTACCCCCTCCAAAAAAAGTTCATTTGGTTAGGTCATTGTAATAAGTATTCTGTTATATACAGCTGATTGCAAATTCTAATCAGTCTCTATTTTATATAATGTATAGAAATAAACTTCAAATGAATTGGATACCCAAATACAAAATAATAAAAACATGGAGGTGTATGTGAGGAGACCTTAAGAAAAGTGAAGGTGGGCATGGTAATCCTGTAATCCTAGCACTTGGGAGGCTGAGGCAGGAGGACTGCCAAGGCTAGTTTGGGCTACAGTGAGTTCAAGCCCAGCCTGAACTACATAGTAAGACTTCCCTCAAAAAACCAAATTAGAAGATGAAGAGGAAGGAAAAGAGGAAGGGGGTAAGGGGAGGGGAGGAGGAGGAGAAGAAGAGGAAGAGGAAGAAGAAAAGTAACTATATGAAAGTTAAATTTTTCCCCTTATGGTGAAAACATAAATAAAAGAAATAGACTGAGAAAATATTTGTAAAACACACGATTTAAAGTCTCTAACATGTAAAAAGTTTCTACAAATTAATTAGAAACAAATAACCAGTGGAAAAATGAACAAAGAATATAAATAGGCAAACTGCAGGAAAGGAATTCAAAAGGCCAATAAAAACACTAAAAGATGGTCAGCTCCACTAGGTAGGAAAATGCAAATTAAAACAAGAATGAGATACTACTTTTCACAGATTGGCAAAAGTCATAGGAGTAACAGTATCTGGTAGTGGAACAGGTGAGTAAAGGTATTTCATACGTGCTGGTAGAAATAGAAATTGCTACAGCCAACTTGGGAAACAGTATTTGAGTGAGCAGTCTGTTTTGGAGAAGCCGTCCTACAGAAATAAAAGCATCAATACCAAGAGAAATACCCAGAGTACACACGGGGTTGTTCGCTGCAGCTCTGCTAGATTTCCTGGAGTAGCAGCCTCTAGTCTGTTCACACCTCCCAGTGTGCGCCCCCTTGCCCACGTGATTCGCGGTCCTCCCTCCTAGAGGTGAAGTCTGTTTCCTTCACCCACTCAAACTTGGATTGGGCCACGTGACTTTCTTTGCCCAGCGGAATGCTAAAAATGGTGCCTGTCTCGGTCACTTTTCCCCTGGCGGGCAAAATACCAAACACTTGAAATTTTAAGGAAGAGAGGTTTATTTTGGCCCAGGTTCTGTCCAGGGCCTGTTGTCTCCAAAGAAGGAGCAGCAAGGCGCAGAGGTGTGGTGGAGGAAAGCTGCTTGCTGGGTGTGGGGTGGACAGAAAGCAGAGTCCAGGGAGCAGCCGGGAGGGAACTAAACCACTCCCCACTCCCGTGAGCCGCCTGTTGCCATCAGCAGCCAGCTGTGGAAGCGCGCTCTCTTGCTGCTGAGACTCTGTTCTCCACCTTGTAAACCAAGCCCAACTCGGCCTCCTGAAGGGTGAGAATGCATGGAGAGACAACCCTGGTTATCCCGACCGTCCTGAGGGCCAGGTGGTGAGTGCGGCCATCCTAAGCCACCTGTGCTGGCCCCGTCACCAGCCAACCCTCAGAATTGCGAGAAATAATAAATATTTGTTGTTTTCATTCAGTAGCTTCAGATAATTTATTTCGTGGCAAAAGACAACTGAAGCAGTAGCATTCAAACATAGAAAGCTACAAAACCCTCAATGTAATGGAGGGGGACTCGTGAATAAATTTTGCTGTAGTATAGCCCATAACATAACTATTAAAGTAGTCGTTAGTCTTTAGTTCAGGGCAGTGCTGTGCAGTGAAAATACAATGTGAGCTACTCGTGTAATTTGAAGTTCTGAGTGGACACATTAAAAACAGTAAAAGAAAACTTGTTAACGTTTTAGTAATATATTTTATTTAACCCAATAGAGTATATCTAAAAATATATTTTTGGAGACTTGAATTCACTTTTAGCCCAGGCTGGCCTGGAACTCATGGGATCCTCCTGCCTCAGCCTCCTGAATAATGGGATTAATTAGAAATCTTATGTGTATTTGATGCTTACAGCATCACTCGTTTCAGCTTAGTCACATTTCAAGTGTTTAATAGCTCCATGTGCCTAGTAGCTACTACAGCAGATGCAGCAACTCTGAAGGTCTGTTCATGATACACAGAAGTTACGGACGCAAATGCTTGATTCCCTCTCCAGTTTTTAAAAGTACATATGGTACGTTCATAAACACATAGAATGGGGTGGAAGGATATATCCCAAGTTGTTAAAATTCTTTTTTCAATCAGCTAGATATTGGAAAGGCAGGAATTAATATTTCTTAAACATCTTTGTATTATCTAGCTTCATATACAAGTATATTGATTTTAAAATTATGTTTTAAAGTTAATTTAAAAGCATAAAAAGTAAAACATAATGGGAAAAAGGAGGACACATAAAAGGCTCCCAACCAAGGTTACTTGGGGTCAGCATGAAGGAAGAATTTTACTTTTTAAATATAGATATTTCAGCATCATTTGGGTTTCTAAACTCTGACTACACATTACTTTTATACAATTTAAGAAAAGTTACATTTCTATATAAAATAAGTACTCATTTAAAATATTTAATTTCACTCACATCTATTAAGTATCAGTTCTGGTTGGCTCAGACTCCTTCAGCCATGACAATTCTTAGCACATAAAATGTGTGGAAAATTGTTTTGAACATGGGGATTTTGGGGAGCTCCTTTTTTCTTATTCCAAGTAAGGCTGTTCTGCTCCCAGTGATCTCATCAGGGAATGAAATACATCTGATCAGTTAGTTTCCTACTTAGAAAACTAACGTGATTTAGAAACTAAATATTCAAACTCCTGTCCCCCTCCCCAACCTGTGCTTAGTTTTTTTTTTTTTTTTTTTTTCTTTTGGTAGGGGAAAGAACATGAAGATACTGATTGTTCTGAATCTCGCGTCATCAGTTCACAAGACACCTGTGGTCTATTGCCCAGCAAACCTCCATCCCCGTTCTTCTCCAGAGAGCTCGTCACTCACATCCACAGTGTTCTGAGAGAAGCCCTCTGCACAACCCAGCCCTACACCCTGGCCACAGTGTGCCCTGGTGGAGGGCATCTGACTCAGGTGAGGCCGATCAGAGCCCCTGTGAAAATTGGACTTGGGCCCCCAAAAGTTGAGCTGGTGTCTCTCCAGCAGCTCCAGAAGCTATAGGTGAGACACCTCTGGGGCCATCGGGAGACTTGTTTCTTTTACTCGGAACAGGGGAACAGAGGCCTCAATCTGCAGTCAAAGAAAAGAAAGATGCTCAGAAAGGAACAGAGAAGAGATGCAGAGTAAGCGCCAATGTCTTTTCATCCTTGGTGTGGTTTTTCCAGAGGTTGACCTGCACCTCTACCCTGCCTTCGGTATTACTGTCTGAGACTTCATCATCCATTAATAAAATATCTACACTTAAAGCCAGTTTAAATTGAGTTTTCATTAATGTGCAATGAAACAAAGTCAAGGGAAGACACATGTAGAGTTCCCCAAGTTCCCCTCCTCCCATACTTTCTATTTGTAATCTGGTATTGTATTATACAAATTTTATCATAACTTTTAGTGAATCTGAATTTTGTGTATTCATTGTAGAGGACTATGGGTCACATTCATTCCTCCATTTCCTTTGCTAAGAGCAAAATTATTTGTTTAGATTTTCACTCCTTTCTCCCAGGTAGTGCACTGACCCCAGCCACTAAGATGTGTAGCAGTTCCCTTGCAACAGTGCATTAAAACCAACTAAAGGGAAAGGCTTTTCATTCCATGGCTAAAGGAGAGGTTTTTTGTCTCTTGCAGCCATAACAAAGACAACTGCTGTCTCAGCTGCTGCTGGCTACCATCTCACCACCGTGAAAAACAGCAAGCCTGGGGACAAAAGCTGAGATGATGAGGAGGACAAAGCCAGGAGAAAGAGAAAAGGAGCCAGCACCCCCTCCACTGTCCCATGGCCTTGCTGTATGGGCTGGGTCTTTTCCTGTGTGAGATAAGATAGTAAATTCCCCAACTGTTTCAGTCACTTTGAGGGTCTCCCTTTTTTTTCACATGCAACCCAGACTCCTCATCTTCATCATCAAACATTTAGTTCATATCTCTTTTATTAAGGTTTTTAAACTTTAATTGAAATGCTCAATTTTAGAATATCTGACTCTTTTAAAATTCTGTCTTTTTAAAATAATATCCTACTCTTGCCTCATGGATTCTTTCATTTCTGTCCTTGAATATTAATGTGGGTTGTGAGCACAATAATAATCTTTGGTTTGTTATTGTTGTTGTTTTTGTTGTTTGTTTTCTGAGACAGGGTCTCCCTATGTAGTTCAACCTGGCCTTGAGCTCTTGAACTTGCAGTGATCCTCCTGTCTCAGCCTCCTGAGTGCTAGGATTACAGGTATGTGCCACCATGCCCAGCTCAATAATAATCTTAAATAGCAACAGCATAGAAAAAAGAATATACCTCAAGTATGTTTGTTGACAATTTAAACTATCATGAACTAAAGTGCAGTTGATTTTTTCTTTTGCTACCCAGCCACACCCTTCCTATTTGGGCAAGATCTTCCATTGACTGCCTTGGTGAGAGTCATATTCCAGCTTTCTACTATGAAAACCTCAAGTTTACACATTCTACCCTCCCCTCTGTGTCAGGCAACAGATGGAGAGGAATACAATGTAGGCTTAGCTAATCAGGTTCTCTCACAGGAACTGGAAATCACTTTTTATTATTATTGTTTTGTATTTTGAGGCAGGGTCTTGCTATGTAACCCAGAGTGGCTTCAAACTCTCAATTTTGCCTCAGCCTCCCGAGTGCTATTACAGGCATGCCCCGTCTAACCCCCTTGGGAACTTCAGATCTTGAGTGAGCGATGACCCAAGGACAGTTGGAATCTTCTTTCTTTTTTTTTTTTGGTATCGGGGATCGAACTCGGGTCCTTGCACTTGTGAGGCAGGCAGAGGAACCACTGAGCTAAATCCCTAGCCCCTTTCTTTCTTTCTAACAGTATTGGTGATTGAACCTAGGATCTCCGCACTGTTATAGTCCACACCCTTTTATTTTTTATTTTGAGATAAGGTCTGAGTCTATAAATTGCCACAGCTGGGCCAGAATTTGTCCTCCTCCTGCCTCTATCTCGCAGAGTGCTGGGATTATAGGTGTGCACCACCATACCTGGTTTGGAATCCAGTTTTGATGATGGTGGCAAGAATCTAGCTACCGAGGTGGTGCGACCTCACCAGACTGTTCAGGTTGCTTGCTCTCAGTGTTTCCCATTGCCTGGCCCTACTTGATTGTTGCGTGACTTCCAAGCATGATTCTCCAGCAGTCCTGATAATTTTGTGAGTTCCCAAAAGACTTTTCAATAAATCCTCTTATTATTTGTCCATGAAAATGTATCAACTATTCCTTAGCAATATCACAGTAGAAATACTTCACCAAATTTTATTAGAACCCTATATGAAGAATTGACACCAAGACAACAATACTATTAAGTTCACCCAAAACCTTTGAGATTACAGTTTGAATGAATGTGAACAACTGACTGAATTTTTCCAGAGTGTAAAACAAAAAGCAAAACTATCTATTCACAGATGATATGATCTTGTATATATAAATCCTAAAGAAACCATTAAAATAATTAAGTTAGAACTAACAAGTCCAGCAAAGTAGCAGAGTATACGACAAAATAAAAATCAAGGCCCTGGGGATGTAGCTAAGTAGTAAGCACTTGCCTGTCATGTTGAAGCCTTAGCCTCAACACCCAGCACTGAAAAAAATTATACTTCCATACATTGGAATGAAATGTCCAGGGATGGAGATTTAGCTCAGTGGTGCTGCAACTGCCTTGCAAGGGCAAGGTCCAATCCCTGGTACCAAAAAGTTCAATCCCGGTACTGAAAAAAAAAAAAGTCCAACAATGAAATCAATAAAATAATTCTATTTACAATAGCATTTATAGGGCCAGGGGTGTGGCTCAGTGGTGCCACAGCTGCCTGGCAAGCGCAAAGTCTTGAGTTTGATCCCAATCCCCCCCCCCAAAAAGAGTAAATACAATAGCATCTGTTATAGTCTGGGTCAAAAATGTGCCCCCAAAGACCATGTGTTTGGAGGTGGGGCTTTTGGAAAGTGATTGGCTCATGGAGGCATTAACCTCATCTATGGCTTAATCTTGGAAGGTCAGGACATTTGTGACAGGGTTAAAATTCCTGCTGGCAGCTCTTGAGAGTAAAAACACAATGGAGATCCCAGGAAGCTAGAAATGCCATGTTCATAAAACATCTGAAGGCTGAAGGCAAGAACAGAGCCAGCCCAAGAGCATGGCCATATGGGCTGCTGCTGGCAAGACCATAGGTGTGGGACTACTCAAGCCCTTTGGAGCTCATAAATCACCACCACATGCCTTGGATGCTGGACATGGAGCTACAGGATGTAATTCTTGCCCTGCTGAGTTTTATCTTGCTTTGGTCTGACTCCTTTTTATTATCCTATTCCTCTCTTTTGGAATGGAAATGCTTACTTGAATCTTGGGAGTGTATAACTTATTTTTTGTTTGTTTTTAATTTTTATAGGAGCTCATTGGTATGAGTTTGCCTGAGTCTCTGAGGAGACTTCCAAGTTGGACTTTTGAGAAATGCTGAAGCTGATGAGGCTTTAGTGACTCTTGGAAATAGACTGAATGGATCTTGCATAATAAAATGGACATGTGGGCCGGGGATTTAGTTCAGTGGTTTCGCCGCCTGCTGCGCAAGCGCAAGGACCTAAGTTCGATCCCCGGTACCAAAAAAAAAAAATGGACATGAACCTTTGGGGGCCAAGGGTGAAATGTAATGATTTGGATCAAAAATCTCCCTCAAAAGGCCCATGTGTTCAGAGGCAGGGCTTTGGAAAGGTGATTTGAGTGTAGGGACAGTAACCTCATCCACAGATGAATCCATTCATCAATTTGTAGCTGAATGGGCCATTAGAAGGAAGGTCCTACTTGGGGAAAATAGTTCACTGGAGGAGTACCTTTGAAGGGTATATCTTGTTCTGGGTACCTTTCTCTCTCTGTTTCCTGGCTACCATGAAAGTAAGCAGCTTTCCTCTGCCACAACAATCTGCCATGATGTTTCAAGACAAAAAGCAATGCAACCAGCTGACCATGGACCATGGAGCCAAAATAAACTTTTTCCCCTTTCAGTTATTATTCTCAGGTATTTTGTTACAGCAAGAGAAAGCTGACAGCATCAAAAGAAAATACTTAGGAATACATTTAACTATATAGGTATAAAATGTGTACAAGGAAAGCTATAAAACATTGCTGAAAGAAATTAAAGAAGACCTAAATAAATGGAAACATATTTCACATATATGCACCAGAGTACTTAACTTTTTTTGTTTTTTGTGTGTTTTTTGTTTTTGTTTTGAGACAGTCTCACTATGTAGTTCAGGCTGGCTTTGAACTATGTAGCCCAGGCTGGCCTCAAACTCACGGTGATCTTCCTACGTCAGCCTCCCTAGTGCTGAGATTACAGGCATGTGCCATCATACCTGGCTTAATATCCTTCATATAGAAATAATCTCCAAGTTGATCTGTAGGTTTTAGGCAATCCTATCAAAATCCCAGAATCCTTTCTTTTTTTTTTTTCTTTTTTTCTGTACCAAGAATCAAACTCAGGACCTTATGCTTGCCAGGCAGACATGGCACCACTGAGCTAAATCCCCAGCCCTCGGAATCCTTTCTTGAAGAAATCAAAAGTCAATCCTCACCTGCCTCGCAAGCACAAGGTCCCAAGTTCGATTCCCGGTACCAAAAAAAAAAGTCAATCCTAAAATTCACACAAAAATGCAAGGGAAAATACTAAAAAACAAACAAACAAACAAAAACCACTTCTACATAAATTTTTAAAAGGTATCCTAAGAAAGAAAAATGGAGGGCCAGGGATTTAGCTCAGTGGTGACACCGCCTGCCTCGAAAGCGCAAGGTCCTGAGTTTGATCCCTGGTACCAGAAAAAAAAAAGAAAAATGGAGTCATATAAAATGCTCAGTCAAAATGGCAAAAAGAGTGAAAGAAATTCAAGAGACTTGAAGTTTCTTCGAAATAATCTTGAAAAAGAATGAAATTAAAGATGACAGTCCTATTTCCAAAACATACTACAAAGCTATAATAGTCAAGAGATAAGATCATTGGCATAAGACCATAAATGTAGATCAATGGAATAGAATTAGAGCCCCAAAATAAACCATTACATTTATGGCCAACTGTTTTTTGAGAAAGCTGCCAAAAAATTCCATGGAAAAAAAGTCTTTCAGTAAATGGTACTGGGGGCTGGGGATGTAGTTCAGTGGTGCCATGCAAGCACAAGGTCCTGAAGTTCAAACTCTGGTACCAGAAAAAAAAAAGAAAGAGAGAGAGAGAGAGAGAGGGAGGGAGGAAGAGAGAGAGAGGAAAAGAAAAGAAAAGAAAAAAGGTGCTGGAACAACTGGATTAAAAAAAATCTGGACATCGTATACAAAATTTCACTTAAAATTGATCACAAACTTAAATGAAAGAGTTAAAACTGTTCAACTCTTAGGAAGAAACCACAGAAGCAAATTTCTTGATCTTGGGTTAGAGATGATTTCTTAGATATGACAGGAAAAAACAAGCAACCTATATGTTGCAGTGATGATAGTTCATTTGTCATGTATGTGCGAGGCCCTAGACTCAATCCCCTGAACAATGAATGAATGGATGACAGAGGGGTATCCACTAGAGATCCAGCTATTTAGAAGGCTGAGCCAGGAAGATCATTTGAGCCAGAAGTTTGAAGCCAGCCTGGGCAACATTGTGAGACTCTGGGTCAGACCTAAACAAATAAAAATAGTAATAATAGTAAATAGTATCAGGAAAGTGAAAAAGAAGAATGGAAGAATATATCTATAAATCATATATCTGATATGGGACTTGTATGCAGAATACAGAATATATAAAAGACCCTTACAACGCAATAATAAGACAAAAACTTTCAATTTTTTTAAAGCATCTGAAAAGACACATCTCCAAAGAAGACACACAAATGGATAATAAGAATGTGATAAGATATTCAACATCATTAGTCATCAGGGAAATACAAATCAAAACCACAAGCTACCACTTCATATCCAGTAGCATGACTATAAATTTAAAAAGGCAGATTATAACAGGTATTGGTAAGAATGCGGAAAAACTGGAACCTTCATAGAATGTAACTGGGAATGCAAAATGGTGTAGCCACTTGGAAAATAATTTGGCAGTTCCTTAAAAGCTTATTATATGGGGCCAGGGATTTAGCTCAGTGGCACTGTGCCTGTCTCGCAAGTGCAAGGTCCTGAGTTCGATCCCTGATGCAAAAAAAAAGGTTATCATATGACCCAGCAATTCCAATCCTAGGTATGTGCTCAATAAAAATGAAAATATGTCCACATAGAAACTTGTACATGCATGATAATGGCAGCATTGTTCATAATAATCAACAAGCAAGAAACAACCCAAATGTCTGTCATCTGATGGATGAATAAACAAAATGTGGTATATCCATACAAAGGAATATTATTTGACAATAAAAGTGAAGTACTGACACATGCCTCCACATGGATAAAACATGAAAACATTTTGCTAGGTGAAAGAAGCCAGTCATAAAGGCTACATATTTATGATTCCATTTATACGAAATGTTCGGCAGAGGCAAATCCATGGAAAATAGATTTAGTGGTTGCCAGTGCCTGGGGGGAATGGGACCACGGAGAGTGCCTGCCAATGAGTATAGAGCTTCTTTTTTGAAGCAAAGAAATGTTCTAAATTTACAATGATGATTACACAATTCTGTGAACATCCTAAAACTCACTAAATTATATATGTTACAGGGTGAATTTTATGCTACGTGAATAATAAAGCTGTTATTTTAAAGCATGCACTTGGGCTTTGTTGTCTGCTACACTGAGGTGACCTTCAGATTCGTGCTGGTAGCAAGAGGGATAAAAACAACTGCAAGTGCAGCAACTGCTGCTGAAGAAACAT